TGTATGCAATTTATTATATTTTCAAAAATAAGATCTCAAATTTAATATCTAAGAGTTGGAATAAATAAATAAAAAATATAATATGTATATTTTTATTTTATTTAATAATCAATGGTGTAAAAAATTTATGAATATCATTATTAATTAATAAAATTTTCCATATAGTTATTTATATTAGGTGTATAATGATGTGACAAATAATCAACACATGTGTTGAATTAAATACTAGATATAGAGCATATTTTATTTGACAAAAAAAATAGCCACACTTAGCATGATTATTAATCTTAAGTTTTGAAATTTTAAAAAATCAAATCAAATTTTTGTTTCATACACTTTTCTTAATCTTCAAATTTTAATTTTAAATTTAAATCAATCATTTCTATCTTCTTAATTCAAACTTATTTAAAAGAAAAGACAATGTGATAATAGAAATGATGATGACAATAGAATGGACAATAGCCTCAATAATGTGATGGGATGACAAAAAAAAATGTAATAAAAGTGGTGAGTATGACAATAATAGCCTTTGTAAAAAAACAACAACAATAACCATTAATTGATATACGATAGTGACAACAAGGATATTTATTGTATCTTCTAAGAAAGTTTAAATAATTAAATGATCTATTACAATTAAAAATCAAAATTACTTTTTTTTACACTAATACTTTCTTCTTTTTTGAAAATTAAAGTAAAAGTACTTCAAAGTAAAATTAAAAACCAAGTCAACTCTACTTTAATCATATGTATTTTGTTTTTAAATTTGCATTTAAAATAATAAACTAAAAACTGGCAACCACTTCAAACAAGCTCCTAACTATTAGTTAAGGTACCTTTTTCTACTTATACATCAAATACCTGACTTATTTATGCCCTCAATCGATATTATATAATAAAATAAAATGGTGAAAGCGTAATATTTAGTAACAAGAATTGGATCATGTTTCACTCACAACTCAAGTCCATAGGTCGTGCACCACCCCTAAAATAGACTTAAGTGGGACACCTTCAAGTTTCTATGGTTTTAAATTTGTTTTCCGCTGTGTTTTCAACATTTTAATCTCCAAAACATATATAACATTGCCTATATTATAGTGAAAAGTCGCATTCATTTATCGTGACAAAATTTTAAAGTATGAAGAGTTATACTTCTTGCATTTTTTCGTATCAAAGAATTGTACTGTTCATTTAAACTAGAAAGATATGACTATTCATAAATAATTTTTTTTTTTAAATAACTCTTCATATAAACACTAAATGAAAAGGCACGACTTTTCATGAATAGACACAAAGTGTCTATAAATAGATGCATTCTCCAAACACTATTTTTAAATTTTTAGTTTTCCACTCTACATTCATTCAAAAAAATCATTTGCCTTTGTTTTGTTGCACAACATGTAGAAGCAAAATTATCATGTATAAAATACCATTGCTGTAATAAGTTGAGTTTTGGAAGTGCAAGACATACTCAAGTATCTTCATTATATCCTAATGGTGTGTTTGGATGAGAAATTTATATAAGGTAATTTATTTATTTGAAGAATTTTAAATTCCTTGAAGTGAAATACTTTGTTTGGATGAGGAATTTACAAAGAATTTGAAATCCAAACATTTGTGAAATTTCTTAAAATAGTAGAATTTCAAATTCTCTCAAAAATAGGAGAATTTGAAATTTCTCATATTTGTTTTTCTTCTTTCACCTATATATTTTATCTTATCTCTTCATTCTTTTAATTATTAGATATTCAAAAATATTTTTAAAATTATTAAATATTCTTATATTAATTTTTAAAATTATTAAATATTTAAAAATGGATTAATATTTA